ACCTAAGTTGGTGTGGAAAAACTAAGTTTGTTATTCTTAGGAAAAGCTATCATTGCCCTCAGCTGTATTCATTTTTTCAGTAAACCTTTTGTATTTGGGAGGGATGAGGTTCAATTTCCAGAAAAGTTGCAATGTTATTATATAAGTGGTTCGCACATATCCCTTAACTTACTTCATTTCCCCGTTACCTTCCTATGTTCCAAACCCAAAATCAACATTGGTACATGGCTATCCTCAAAACTCGAGATTTATTTTGAATTAACCAGTTTTTATATTTTAGGGTTCAATATTTTTATAACAACAAAAGCCCCTTTTCTCATGTCTTTACATCAGATGTTTCTCCTGCACTATAGATGTGCTATAAGTTACATACTTCCCTATGAAGATACATAGGTTTGGTTTTTTCCTCTCCTGGATTTCTTGTCATTTATAAAGCAAATATTAGCATTTGTGAAGATCATAACTTGTTATAATAGAAATAATTTTCAGACACATCTGAGCTTTAATGCCTAAGATGTTTCCTAGAAATGCATGTTAGAAATTTCTGGGCATCTCCCCTGGGAATTCTGAATCAGGAAGGGTGGGATATGAGGGGGCTTCAAAAACTTTATGGAAAACTTCCCCTTGTCTTTTACTTCCATTTTTCCATGGACTTTTGGAAACCCCCTGTGTACCTGTGTTTCACCTAAATGTTATTAACTGGCTTGCTGTTGAGAATAAACACTGAGGAACATACTTGAACACTTTTTAACTAGGCCATTTGGTGGCCTTGACCTTATTTGCCGGGCTGTGCAAGCATTCTCACTCTCCCTTTAGTTGTTCCGCCCTCGTTAGCATAAAAGCACTGACCCCCATACGGCTCAGAGCTAATCTTCTGAGTTGTTACTGCCAATTCTAGCCCATATGGCTAGTTCCTAAAGGAACACATTGCTGAGGTGCCGATCACAGTGTAAAACAAGAGCACGGTGCTCAAGGCAGACTTTTTCTACTCGGCCGACTCAGCCACCTGAAGTTCAGTTAAAGATAGTTCAGCGAATGGTTTTGGTTTAAAGTTTGAAGATTTAACTCCAGCCAGTAGTTTCAGTGGCCCGTCCACTCTCAATGGCTCCAGAAGGTCTGGAGTCTCTGGAGTTTGCATTCCATCCCTTTTGATCGGGAATGGGGAATGATCGCTATGTTCAGCCATGGCAGCTAAGCACTGTCTGATTCTTTGGGTCTCATGCCCAAAGACGCAGTTATTCCAGAAGGAAGTGAGCCCACCCTCCGATCCTCCTCAGATTCTCACTCCACTTACACTCCAGGTGAATAGAGACTAATTGCTGTGCCTTGGGTGGCCATTTACAAGCTTTTAAAACCCCCGGCTCTAGGTAACCAACCAGGAGGTAGAACGGATGCACTAAACACATGAAGTCACTTACAGTAACTGGTTTGTCCTTTGAATCTGTGACCCTAAACATCCAAACCAAGGAACTAAATTCTGTGAGGTACTTGGTTGTATATAAGCAACCCCAGAGCTTTCATTTCTTTAAAATACCCTTTGTCGTTATTGTAAATATATCATACAACTTTTGCCAGCGGTCCTTTTGATAGATGGGTGACTTATTGCCAGCAATTCTTGTAATCAGCTGAGCAACGCTGCCCTTAATCATGCCAACTCCCCCATCACTGTCAGCACCTTTTTCCCCGTCTCTCCTCACCACTAATAAACCCTATTCTCTACACATTTGCCTTTTTATATGAATGATGTCATACAATATTTTCCTTTTGCGGTTGGCTTATGATGCTCTCATACTGTCTCCAAGCTCCGCCCACAGGGTAGCACGTATGGCCACTTCGCTTCTACTGGCTGAGTAGTATTTCGCTGTATGTGTTTGTGGATCCATCATCTGTTGTTGGCCATTTAGCTTGTTTTACCTTGTGGCGACTGAGTGGTATTGCCGTGAGTGCTGGTGTTTCGTGTTTCTTTCTGAGTCTCTGCTTTCAAGTCTTTTGGGTCACAAGATAGTTCATTATTGCTTTTTTTAAGAACTGCCACACTGGTTTCCATAATGGCAGTACCATTTTGCGTTCCTACCAGCATGGGTAAGGTTTCCAATTTCCCCACATCCTCACCAACAGGCGTTACTTGCAGAGTTCTGGTATCCAGCTGAGATAGTTTATTGTGCCAGCCTGGCCGATAAACACAAGTGGGATTAACTGAAGGGC